AGACCTGTAATCTAGCTTAGAGCATGCTGAGTTCAAAAATGCAAAGTTATGGACATGTAAATTGGTCATGAACAAAGTGAGTTTTTCCCATATTGCCAAATTCGATTCTCCCTAACCACAAGGTTGTTTGATGAGTTCTTGGACATTTTGGAAAGATTGGAATGTGTAATACAATCCATCTTTGTAATGCAAATTTAAATTCCAAGTGGAAGCATGTGAAAAGTAGCCATGAAGTTAGGCAAAAAACCTGCCTAGAATAGGTCAAAATTTTTCTGTTAAGAATGTTTTGCACCCTTGTTCCAAAAATCATAACTTGAGCTACAAGCTTCTTTTGAGGAAACTTTGTGAATCAAAGTTGTAGATTTTGAAATGGACTACAACTTTCATGTTTTGACTATTCCTTGAATCCAAATTCATCTTGATGAAAAAATGGGACAAAGTTAGGAAAAAATTAGGGATTTTCATAACTTAGAAAAATTCTAAGTTATGAAAATTCTTCATTTCAAACCCTAATTTGTGATTTTTGATTTCTTGATGAACAAGTTTCATATTTTGACATGTTTTGATGAAAAATGAATCTTGACACTTGATTTTGACCAAAAAGTCAAAGTTTGACTTTTCAGTATATAGTTAAATTTGGCTCAGTTGACTGGAAAATTCATCTGTCAACCTTGTGCAATTGGGATCTTTTGAACTTGTTGAACATGTCAAGACAATTCCATGGGGTCCTTGAGTCCGTATGTGAGCTTGGTTTGCCATTGTCTAGGTCAAACAGTCAAAAATTGCCTTTGTGCAGTCAAAACCCTAAAAATGACCATTTTGCCCTTTTGGTGATCTGATCAAATTTCTTGTGGAATTATGATCCAAACTTGACCAAATGGTTTATATGAGTTCAATATGTTGATGTGGGTCAATTTTCATGAGGTTTGACTGTCAATTGACCTCAGTTGATTTTTCCTCAATACAGCTGATTTCTAGGTCAACTGTCCAATTGACTGGGCAAAGATTGGAATCAAGGCTTGAAACTTGGTATGGATAAACTTGGGAGTCCAACATGAAGCATGAAAGTCATCTTAGGCATTTTAGGGCAAAACATCTTTGTGCAAACACAAACCCTAATTTGGGTCAACAGTGCAAGGAGGAGTCTTGAGCAGAGCAAACCCTAACTTGATCTTGAGCTCCAAAGGTCTTATGATGAGAAAATGTTGAGGAAATGGGAGGGAAAATTTTAGGGTACAACAGCTCCGACCTACCTTTCACCCTTTCAAAAGTCACCGTCTGAGGAGGTGCAGAGTCGACCAGTTCGTCCAGCTTCCTTTTGGCCGAATTTATGGTTAGGTCGTTGAATCCTCCACCATTGATGACCATGGCGGAGGGAAAGCGCTTCCACCTGCTGTGTGTTGAAAATGGTTCTTGCAGGTACTCGGGGACATAGAAGTCCTCCGGTCTTGTGACGGAGAACGCGGTCTGGATGGGGACCGACTCGTCAGATGGTTGGGCATCCTCCTCCGGTTCTCTTATATCCCAGGCGTCACGACGAGGAGCGTCGTTTCGCCGATATTGGGCGAGTCTCCCCCCTTTTATGAGGGTCTCGATGGCGTCCTTGAGGTGGACGCAGTCCTCCGTCAGATGACCGTGGCTCCTATGGTACTGACAGTATTTGCTCTTGTCCACCCCGGGCTTGGCAGGAGCTGGTCGAGGGCGTTTGACGCCGCCATCTTTGAAATCTGTGCTGGCGCACTCCGCCAAGATGCGTTCGCGGGAAGCCGTGAGCGGAGTGTATTCTGTGAAACGCCCCGAGGGTCCTCTCTGCTCTCGGACTTCTCGGGGTCTGTCCTCTTTTCTTTTCTCCCATGTTTGTTGAGGAGGAGCGGTCTCTTGGCGCGGGTTGCTGCTGGATCCGCGAGTTCTGGGGTCCCGGGCTTTGTTGGCCGCTTCCCTTTCCTCGTAATTCATATATGTCCGGGCCTTCTCGAGGAGAGCATCGAACGTTCGGGGCGGTTCGATGCCCACCGCCTTTCTGAATTCTGTGCCGGGGAGGAGCCCCCTCTCCAGCAAGTACCTTTTCATGTGGTCCGCGCAGGGGACCTGTATGGCTTCGCGATTGAAGTGGTTGATGAATTCTCTCAAAGTCTCGTCCTGCCTCTGGATGATGGCCTCGAGTGCTGCCTCGGTCTTTGGATGTCGCCGAGATGCGGTGAACGAACTTATGAATTGATTCTTCAAGTTTCGCCACGAGTTGATTGATCCCGGGGCGAGACCTTTATACCAATCCAGTGTTGCCTTTCTGAGGGTCGTGGGAAACAACCGACATTTGATGGGTCCCCCGACATTATGGTAATGCAGCATAGCCTTGAACCCGTCTATGTGGTCGACCGGGTCCGCGACTCCGTCGTATTCTTTCAGATGTGGAGGCTTCTCCATGCCCAGGGGAATGGGTGCCTCCATGATGGCTTGTGAAAGGGGACCGCGGGGGTCGTCCTCATCACTTTGCTCTGGGGATATGGACGGGGACCTGAGATATTATCGGGCCCGACGGTCTTGGTCGTGCTGGATGCCCCTCGAGCGGGATGCTCGTTGGTCCGCTCTCCTGTGCCTGTCTCTGGGGTGTCTTCTTTATTGTTGTAAGGGGTCGTGGTTGTGGTCTCTGGCCTCAATGACGGGTTGCCTTTCTAAGGGGGGTCGTCTCCCCGATGGTCGGGGCGACGGGCTTCGGGAGGTGTCCCTATATTGTCTCCGCAGGGGAGACGGGAGACGTACCTCTGTTACTCGAGGAGGTGGGGTCTGAGGCCTCATGTGCCTCTTCGAGGGTCTTTTTTCGTCCTCTAGCGCCCTCAATCTTTCCCCCTGGGCAAAGATGAGGTAGTTGGTTTGATTGATTGCCGCGAACAGTGCTCTGGTCGTGGCATCTGCCCCGGTTGGGACGGGGACTTCCTGAAATTGGGCAGCTATATAGTTCGGAGGAGTCGCATTGTCTTCTTCGAGTGGAGGAGGGACTGAAGAAGATGAGGCAAAGGCTCCGCCGCGGTGGCCTGAGGGCCCGGGGATGGCGCCCCCGGGGAGTGTGTTATGGCCGGGATTGTCGGCGTTGTCGGGGATTCCGTTCTTATCCGCGAGGTTGTTGTTGGCGTCGACGACGCGGATGTTCTGGTCATCCCGAACTTGGTCAGTCATGACGGTAGGAGGTGATTTTTAGCTTTGGTCTTCGAGAGTTTGCAAGACGGGGAAGCTAGTTTCCCACAAACGGTGCCACTGATCTTACCAGATCAGACTTTGATCGTCACGGCTGGCTCGAATTGAATTTGAGTGAGATGGGGGGAGGGTACCTGCAAGACACTCCGATGCTAAAATGAGAGACGGAATGAGCAGGCAAAAAATGTATAAGTGCGTAATAGATGAATACCTGACCCTCTGGGAACAGAGGGTATTTATAGCCCTCAGCGCTGGGCCAAGGTCCCCCTATTGGGTTGTGTAGAACTGGCCCAATAAAGGAACTGCCAGGTTCTACGTGTGTAGTGGGGCCCCGCCCGTGGTCCCCTTCCCGGTGATGCTCCACGAAGAATAAGGAGGGACGAAGACGCGGTCTTTCCGAAGCTTAGAGGATTCTATAACGGTCGGAGTGGACAGAATCTATCCTACGGGGAGGGTGCTCGAGCTGGAGTTCCCTTGGTCAGGGATACTGCGCGTCGCGGGCAATGGCGGGTATAATAGCCTTGGTCTGTGGTCGGGCACGTCGGTGATGGTCCGTTTGTGAGCATTCCCCGAGGAGTTTGCTTGGACTGGGCCTTTATCTGCGCTTTTGGGCCAAGGCGGACCCAGTCTAGAACAAAATGTATTCAATATCTCTCTTTGTTTGGTTTAATAGAAGGGGAGAAGATAAAAATATAATTATTTTTAAAAAGTTAAAATGCCCCTAAATACCTATTTATTTAATAAAATTAAAAATAAATTTTATATATATATATATATATATATATATATATATATATATATATATATATATATATATATATATATATATATATATATATATATAGAGAGAGAGAGAGAGAGAGAGAGAGAGAGAGAGAGAGTAACGCAATAGATAAAAGAAAATGATAAAATTAATTTGATAAAAAAAAATTAATTTGATCATCCAAGCTTAAACTCTTTTATTTAATTTAATTTATGTTTAAAAAAATTATTTATTAACTTATTATATATAAATATTAGTTTGATTGAGTTAAATGTTTAATTCATTTAGTTAAAAACATTTGATTTGATTTTTATTATTAAATTAATAAATTGAATTATTTAGTCAAATTATGATTTGTACTTATTTCCTTAATTTTGATTTTAATGAATTTTATATTTTATATTGATCTTTCAATGGCTAACTTTCATTTCTTGAATATTATGACATTGATATGATAGTTAGCTATTAGTGGTAGTTTGTTTAATGTAATTAGCTAATTGTAAGTCAATAATATGGTGTAACTACTTTTTTATTCTCTTTTCTTTTCTTTTTTAAGATAATACATTTATTAATTAAGAGAACACATCCAACACAAATCTCATAATACATTTGAAATGGGACAACCCCATCCAAAGTTTTGAATCAAATCTAAACAAAAACCTACACTATCATAAAAACTATATGCACAAAAAGTTCATAAACTAACAAGACACAAATAAATATGAAACAAAAATAATAACTTATCGTCCAATCAGCCAATTTTTTACGAACGCGACCAATGGCGAGATAGAAAAGAGAATCCACAATCTCTATTTAAATCTAATTACAGATGATTTCTTTGACTTGTGATTGTGTATTTCGATTATCTTTGGTCTCAATATTGTTTACTTTTATTGAATGTTCGAAGATTAATGGATGAATAGAAGAACAATTGACGCTGCTCTAGAACACCAAACATCTTTGAAGCTTTTGTCGAACACCATGAGTACAAACTTATACCTCAAAAGATAAAGACAAAATAAAAATCAGATGAACATAAAGAGGATTAGACAAATCTGACAGAGGCTACAAGGTATAGAGTATCCATGGAGGCTTCGGAGGTGGATGAATAGTTGCCGACATCAGAGGTGAAAGAGTAGCTCACTGTTGTTAAGCTTGAGATGTGAAAAACTATCATTGCAAACTCTTCATTTCTTGGTGGTGGTGGTTCCAGTGGTGGTCGCAGATATAGGAAGAGAGGGTTGACGGTGGTTCGAAGTGGAGAAAGGGGGTAACTGGAGAGTGAGTTTGTTTTGGCAATAGAATATAGATGAAGATGAAAAGTGTGGATTGTTCTCTCAAAATAGGAGGAGGTAACCATCATAAGAGTGGGAGGGGAGAGTCGCCATTGAGGTGAGAGGTAGCCACCAAACTCTAAAGGGTTGGGGGGAAAGTTTTAGAGAGAAGTGAAAGCATCTCTCTAAAGTGTATGTAAAATAAACAGTAAGATACTCTTTTCTTTTATATATAAGTGAGTCATTCCAATTGTGTAAGTTCAATATATGTCAATGAAGCATTTTCTTCATATTCAATCAATGTATTCCATAAACTATAATATTGTATCATAAGTAATTTTTTTACCCTCCTTGCTTCTGCAATCTTTTTTCTCTCTTCTTCATCTTGTGATCTTGTGTCTTTCAGTGGTAAATCACGATGACCCATATTACCTTCATTCATCTGATCATCCCGATGTTATTCTGATTTCACAACCTTTAACTAGTGATAATTTTAACTCTTGGCATCATGCCATGTTAATGGCTCTTGATGGCAAGAACAAAATTGGCTTTGTTGATGGCACAACTCCAAAACCAGAAGATAACTCTTCGCAGTATCGATCATGAAAGCACTACAATATCATTGTTCATCTTGGTTGCTTAATTCAGTTTCCAAATAGATCTTTGCTAGTTTCATTTATGTTGCAAACGTTGCAGAGATTTGGAAGGAACTCCAAGATCGGTTTCAACAGAAAAATGGTCCTCACGTGTTTCAATTGAAGAAGAACTTTCTTAGTTGCATGCAAGGATCATCCAATGTCAGTGCTTACTACACTCAGTTTAAATCCTTATGGAAATAATTGAGAGAATATCGACCAGTACACACGTGTAATTATGGTGGAGTGCAACCTATCGTGGATCATCTTCAAAGTGAACATATTATCACATTCTTAATGGGACTGAATGAGTCTTTCAATCAAGTTCATGATCAAATTCTGCTCATGAATCCTCTACCTTCTATCAATATTGTGTTATCGATGGTTACTCAAGATGAGAAACAGATAGAGGTAACAACCATCTCGAATACTATTGAAACACATATGGTTTGCACGGTTCATGCTTATGTCATACCCCAAATTTGCTCGCCCTATTTCTAACAATCAAATTATTTTTAAACTTGAGCTTTATAAAAATTTTAGTTTAATTTTACTAACATTTTAATATTAATTTATTTGGTTTTACTTTAAATTATTTATATTTTTTAATAGCAAATATTTTCTCACTCTTCCTGTACTTTCAAGTGGCTTCTTATCACAAATAAATAAGTCAGCACAATTAGTAAAGAGGTAAAACTTGCAAGTATAAGGTCACGGATTTGAATCTTCTTACTATATTTTTAACATTTTTCTTTTCATTTGTTACTAACTTTATTTCCATTTTAAAATCATAAAATTGTATTTATTTATTTATTTTAATTTCAATTTTCGTTTTTATTTTGAAAACATTTTTAAAAATAATTATTTATTTGATTTTATGCATTTTTTACCAAAATTGAGTGCAAAAATTATAATAAATACAAAAAATATTTTCTTTTCTAATTAACTGTTTTTCATTGGTCAATTCGTGTCAATTTGTGTCTGTTGGCTGAAGATTTTGATAATGTTATTTAGAATTCAAAAAGAGCTAGAAGTTCTGATCGAAATGGAATTAAAACACCACGCTTCGAAATTGCAGAAGCAGTGTTTCGAATGAGTGTGTCAAAGCTTGAAGTTTCGAACGGTGATCATGGGAGCGTATCCAAAGGGGTCTCGAAACAGCAGCGAAGCTAGATCTGAGAAGAGCGTTCGAAACAGAGAAACACCAAAGCATTTAAAATTTAAATGAAAGCGGGACTTTCAAAGTTTGAAAGTTATGTGTTGGAGCATTTGGGGACACGTGGAAAGATGAAAGGAGCATTGTCTTGCATGTTCGAAACGTGGCATGATCTTGTAGCGAGACCGTTAGGGTCGAATTAGTATAAATAGAAGTCTTAGTGTTAGGATTTCAGTGTGTCATATCTGTTATACAAAATACTCAATAACATTCAAACTACCACATGGCAAGGGAAACAAATGCAAGAGAGATGTATGTATGATAGCACCATGTATTTCTAATTTAATAAAAGCCTTTTTACTATTTCCAGCACTTTCCTTCTTTTTCTTTCTGTCGAATAACATTTGCAAGTTTCTTTATCTACTGTCTTTTCATTTCAAAGTCTTTTCTTCAAAGTTTTACATTTTACTGCTTTCTTTATATTTCGAGCACTCTATATTTCAGAGAACTTTTACGCTCTCAATACCTTTACTTTCAAGTATTATTCTTCAAACATGTACTTTCACTTAAAGTCATTTCTAGATTTCTTGCATTAAACGCTTTCTTTACATTTTAAACTTCCACATTCCAGAAACCTTTTGTGTTAAATGTTTTATGGGTCGAAACCAGTTACTTCATTTTCCATACAGTTTTATATGTCTTTTCAATCAGCATTACAATTAGCAATTATTCGTATAACTTAGTTTTCACATACATTTTGACCACATTTTCAAACTCTTAGAGAGAGGGATCGAAATAAACCAAACATTTGTACAATAGCACCCATGAATAATTGTTCGATTGTGAGAGTAACCTTGATATCCAAGGAGTCCTAGGATCAATCTAGTCGATCCTGTGAGTTACCAAAGAGATTGAGTAGCGTTAATAAAGATTATTCGATAGTTTGGAAGACTAGCGGTTGTTTACCAGAAATCACTGGAAACAAATTGGCACGCCCAGTGGGACCATAGTTGGATATCAGAATTAAGGATTGTCGAGACATAGCCATCCCAGAAACGTAGGAACCTAAGAAGTTTGCTGTTTTATGAACCTGAGAAGTGGTAAGATAACCAACAGCAACCAACCTTTATCCAGAAGAAAACGTTTGGACAAAATGTCTAATTCAGACAATCAACAGGGAGACCAAGGTGGCCCACAGGCAACAGGCACTAACGCGTCCATTTCGAGCGGAGCATCTAATGTAATCCCTTCGAATGCACAGGCTGTTGCATCTTCAACCAGTAACATGGCCACCAACGGAGTAAGTGGCGTATCAACCAACAGTTCGATCTTAGGAAATACTGGAACTATGGGCTACCCTGGGGGATTCGTTCCGCCACCTGGGACACAATCCCATTTCGCCACTCCATCAACTAGACCACCCGGCTTCGATGGGAATAGAATTAGAAGTTCTTCTTACGGAATGCCAACATCTTTTATGGCAGGTTTACACAATTCCACATCGAATTCATCCCCACAACTAGGATCTGGGTCTGGGGCAAACCAATTTATGTCAAATAACCAAGGGTCAGTGGGTTATAGCACGTTGCCTACCCTAACCACAGATAACCAGTTGGCTTTTAGGCAATTGATGGATGAAAGCAACCACAATATGATAGGGGTGTTAGCGCAAACCATGCAGGAAATATTCGCCCCAATAGTTCAGAATGTGACTGTGACGAACAGGGAAAACGCTGACAATATGAGTCGAATAGCAGATTTCTTTGCTCCCACAGAAAGGCGTAGGCAGAACCAGGCGGGATTTCGAACAAACGTGCCTGTTATAGAACAAATTGCCAACGACCCAATTCATAGACCACCCAGAGAAGAGGTTAACTTAGGGGCCAGAGCACCAAGGTTAGAAGCCCCAATAATTCCGGGCCCACAAAGGGAAGTTATGGAACCAGGGGCAAGGATCGAAAGACCAGAAGCCCCAGAATTTCGAGGAGAACAACCTAGGGGAGTTGTTTTGGTTGGTCGAAACCAAGATGCCGATGCTGTCGTTCATAGGATTCGAAACGATAACATCTTGGCAGAAAATAATCTGACCACCATGATAGAGAGGATCATGACCCAAAACGGCCTCAATATGGGAATGAGGAGGCCAAATTACGCTTCTCCTATATTAGATTGTATAATGCATACTGATTTACCAAGGGGATACAAAGTCCCTAAATTTACAAAGTTCGCTGGGGATACCAACGAGTCAACAGTCGAACACATAGCGAGATATTTAACCGAAGCGGGGGATATAGCCAATAATGAAGATCTCAGAATCAAATATTTCCCAAGTTCCTTGACAAAAAATGCCTTCACTTGGTTTACCACGTTGCCTCCTGGGTCTGTTGATACTTGGACCCTTTTAGAGAGATTATTCCATGAACAATTTTACATGGGACAATCGAAAATAAGTCTGAAAGAATTGGCCAGTGTTAAGAGAAAGTTCACTGAACCCATTGATGACTATTTGAATAGATTTAGGCTGTTAAAATCTAGATGTTACACAGTAGTCCCTGAGCATGAGTTAGTCGAAATGGCCGCTGGGGGATTGGATTACTCTATTCGAAAGAAATTAGATACTCAGCATTTGAGGGATATGGCTCAGTTAGCCGATAGGGTTCGACAGGTCGAAAGACTAAAAGCCGAAAAAGCCCGAGTCTTTAAGAATAGTAAGAAAGAAAGGATTTCCTATGTTGGAACTGAGGAAGTAGAAGAATACCCTGAATTCGAATTCGAAGAGGTCGAAATCGACCTCGCTGAATTAAAACAGGCCCCGCCTTACTCCTGCAAAATGTTAGTTCCTACGAAAGGGAAAGATATTGTTGAAAATGAGAAAAGTGATAAGTTTCCAAAGAAGGTTTACACCTTCGATGTCACTAAATGTGACGAAATCTTTGACTTGCTTGTCAAAGATGGCCAACTAATTGTGCCATCAAATGTCAAAATACCCCCTTTGGACCAGAGGAAGAAAAGGGGATTTTGCAAATATCATAGTTTCCTAGGCCACAAGACCTCACAATGTTTTCTTTTCAGGGATTTGATTCAAAACGCAATCAAAGATGGCAGATTAAAGTTTGCTGATAAGATGAAGATGAAAGTGGACGAAGATCCTTTGGACGTCGCTGACACCAACTACTCCGAGCCTGCATGCATTGGAGAAGTCAACATGGTGGAAATTGATCGAAGCGACACCCTAACAGGAGAGAAGGACATTGGAGTCGAAAACTGGGAGATGGTCGAAGTCAGCGAGGAAGTC